TTAGATTTTAACCTGAGAAAATACACCCACGTAAATCATGAAAAATCATCAATAATAACCAAAATGTACCATTTCTTATTGAGAGTTTCAACAGTTGATGGTCCACAAAGGTCAATATGAAGAAGTTCCGACGGTTCCACGATTTTCAAATCTATCACAACTGGGTGTCCTTTTTGATGTTGCTTCCTTGTTCGCAAGCTGCACATAAATTATCATTATCAAATTTTAAAACTGGTAAACCTCGAAGAAGACCTTTAGTTACCAACTTATATAAATTCCAAAAATTTAAATGAGATAATCATCGATGCCATAACCAGCTAACATCAGATTTAGCTTCTGAAAGTAAACAAATTGAAGGTTTCGCAACAATCGATTTAATATCAAGAGTAAACATATTGATCATTGGCTTGAAGGAAAAGCTCGCATGTATTAGTCCACGAAATTATTCTCAACAACAAATCAAAGATGCTTATGAAAAGTATGTGAACAGTTCATCAACTGGAAGTTCATCGAAAAATGATTTGAATGTCTCAGTGAAGAAGTGGAGAGCAGTTGTGAATGCAGCGAATATTGAATCTTAATCTAAGAAGACGAAGGATGTTGTTAGTAAAAAATCCTAAACTATCGAAAACTTATGTGTCGAGTCCTTTATCTAATAATGTGGACTTAATTGATAGTTTCAAAAATAAAATCTGTGATTGGGTTAAAAGTACTACATTTCATTATGTTCTTAGAACTAATTTCCAAGGACCTAAACAGCCTTCGGTACCTAAATTCTTTCAATGATAACAGGTATTATGTGACGAGCAATATGATGAGAAATGGTATATCGATAATGGTTGCTCACGTCACATGATTGGACGAATGGAGAATTTGTGAGATTATCGAAGCCTGGATAATGCTGGAGTTGTGAAGTTTGGCAACAATCATAAATGTCAAGTCAAAGGCTATGGAAAAGTAACAAATGGCCAATTCACCGTGAATCGAGTTGTATATGTCGAAGGCCTTAAACATAATTTGATAAGTGTTTCGCAACTAGTTGTGGGCACTGGAAATCAAGTTGTGTTTAATGAAGAAGGCAGTATTATTTCGAAGATAGAAACAAAATAAGTGTTGCTCAAATCAAAACGACATGGTGATATGTTTGCTCTGATACCAAATGAGGTGGTGTTGATTATGATCGCATGTGCGTAATATGAAAGATCTAGTGAATCATCATGTAAAAAATCAAGAACACAAGAAGTAAATAATTATTTTTAGGCTCTCATTAGTTGTCATAGAAAGAGTACAAATGGGTCTTGCAATTTTTCTCTCTAAAATAATGCTCTCAAAGTGTTCCTTTTTTCCTAAAATGAGTGACACTCACTTACTTATAAAGGAAAGGCAACCCATTACACATACAAGTGGGTGAAGCCTTATCCAAGCATGACTTTCACCCTAAGACATGTGTTTCAATTTCGACTGTTGAAGTAGAATATGTAGCTGCTGCTGCCTGCACATTACAAATAATTTGGATTCAGAGTCAATTGCATGATTATGCAATAAACATGAAAAGAATTCCTTTATATTGTGATTCTCAAAGTGCAATTCGTATTTGTCATAACCCTGTGCAACATTCAAAGACTAAACATATTGCTCTTCATTACCATTTCATAAAAGATCATGTAGAAGATGGTAATATTGAAGTGCATTTTATGAAAACCACTTATCAGTTGGATGATATTTTCACAAAACCATTAGATGAAATATCGTTTGTGAGAATTTTAGGTGGACCTGGAATGGTCAAAGGGGATTCTATTTCGAAGGAATAGTGATAACGAGGGACAACTGTTAGATTCAACGATTATTGTTTATAGTCAACGCTTCGTTACCCTTCATCTTCATAAATTGAAACTGGAAAATTCGTGTGTCCGGTACATTTCAAATATTTTCGTTAAGAAATTTTTGTTTTCGAAAAATTCAGAAACAACAAAAAGATTTTAATTTGTTTTCTCTTTTATTTTCGAAAAATCAAAAATCAAAAAATATTTTGTTTTGTATTGTTTTGTCTTCATGTTTTGTTTCAGGTAACAAAGATGATTCTCAATGGTTAATGCTTGCAAGTCTAGGGTTAAGTAATTCTTTCGAAACTCTTGAACTAGTTAAGGTGTCCCTAGAAGCATGCTGCAACATGTTGACCAAAGGCTCAAATGACTTTATGTGTGTTTAATGAAAGCCTTAATGAAATATTTCATACAAAAATTTCTTCCCAAGACAGGATTATATTAACATTAGTCAGATGAGCTACCTAACTATTCTCACATGAGCTAAGAGTTTACTGTTTTGTCTATAATAACAAAGGTACACTCGAATTCTTAAACCAATCTTTTCCGTCTAACATTCTTAACGATCACACACAAAGACATATGTCCAAGAGGTTTTTGATCAAACCCAGCGAGACTTAGACATATCAAAAATTTGTGTTAATGATCTGACATCATGAGATCGTGATGAAAGTGAAACCCAATTCTCAAGATTTTAAGGAATTGATGGGGAACTTTGTTCCAGTTTTTAACGAAACTTTTGTTTCTATACCTATATTCGAATCTCCAAATCATATTCATTTCATATGAGTGATCTTGATCAAATTATCGAAACCCACGATGGTTGTTACCCTACATGATCCAACTCAATTTTTTTTTCATGAATATGATTTCCGTGTGAGTTTCATATGAGTTCTAAGTCACATTCAAATTTAATTCAAAGCATACTTGTCACCGACTACACTAGTCAAACAAGTGATTTCTGTTACAATTTCTCACCTTATGTTTTGTATGATATGTAACAAAGTCGTGTACCTACCCAAAGTTTTTCTTTATTTGCTTCTTATCTTTCTTTTTAGTAGATTGCACTCACGAAATCCTTTAGGTTCTGAGTAGTACCAACTCAGGTTGATGATTTTGAAAGTCTGGCACATGAATTCACTTTAAATCCCAAAAGTGAAAGAGCCTAACCTCCATCCGAGGGTTGCTGATGTTTCATATTACATTGGGGGGAAATAAATAGGCTGTGAGAAGTGACGTCTTGTATTCTATCCAGTTTTCAAGGAGAAGTCATAGTTACTTTTTCACACGTGACTACTTTATCGGAATAGTGGTATGGGATTCAAGGTGCCATGTTGGATTTCAATAAATGCACACCCCGCTTCAAATTCAAATATCAGGCTTACATATAAAAAGGAAATCAAGGGTTTGTTATCAATTTACACTTTCAGAAGAAAATTTCCCAAATTCTCTCTAAAAAATCCAATTGTTCTTCATACGATTTTACAACCCAAGTCATGGCTGATCAAACTAATGTTGATGCACCATCACAAACCACTGAAGATGTTACTTCACAACCGATAATGAAGATTTAGGGGACAAACTATCAAGTAGAAGCAGATGAATCTCTTTACCCTGAAGGATTGAAGATGTTGGTGGTTGCTTTGAAGAGTTGTTCAATTCTTTTGCAGTACATCTATGTTGGATTTCACAATCAGGTTCTACTGCAACCTACTCTAAAGCCCTAGATGTCATCACATTCAACTTAGTGAATGATAAGAAGGTACGATTGACGAAGAAGATGTTTTGTCAAATTTTGGATATTCCAAACTCCCAACCATTTACTGCTCTTTCAACTGATCAAGTGAACTACATGTTCAATGAGATGGGTCATCAACCCCCACTCACAAAGATTAGTGATTTTAAATAATTTGGTCTTCTGACGATCTGGAATTTCTTGTTTGGAATCTTTCTTGATGCTTAACAGGTCGAAGTGTTGGGTTTGATAAAGGATGCATGGAAGTCTATGCAATGGTTGCAGGCATCTATTATGGTATACCGGTGGACTACTCTACACAGTTATAGAAGGAATTTCAAAAGAGTGTAGAGAATACGAATGTCGTGCAAGGTATTTCATGTGCACGATATTGGAGTCTTATCCTCAGATATTTCTATGATAAAGAGGGAATTCGGGTGGATGCTGAGGAGGAAACAATAGATTTTTTGAAGTATAATTTTCCAGAAGAAGTACATGATGATAAAAAAAAAGTCTTTTCACATGTTGCAAGAATCCTAGATGCAATGTTGAAGAAAGTCACTCCAACAAATGTTGTACTTATTGCATACATGAAAACAATTGATCCCAAAGTTGAAACTTGGAAGTTTTTAACGAAAGAAGGTTCGGGTCCTTCGAAGAAATCTAGGACTACAAAGAAGACTAAGATCATCATTCTTGAGTCAAGTGTTAAAGAAACGAAGACATCAAAGTCTCCAAAGACAAAGGTTGATGAGTTAGTTTCGAAAGCTGTGATACAACATGTTAAACCTCTTGTTACAGAACCAACTTCAGTTACCATTCCTTTGAAGACTGGAGTTTTTCGTAGATTAAAACTGAAGTATGGTGGCTCTCGTAGTTCGAATGTGGTTCCAGCTCCAGTTTCTCCTCACTCAAAGAAACGAAAGGCTGAGGACATGGAAAAGAAGATTTCGAAGAAAAAGAATAAGACAAACAAGAGGCAGTTAGTAATTCCAACAAAATCATCTGAAGAAGAACAAGTGCCTGAAACACCTGAAACCGAACCTATTATAGAGCCTACCTCTCCTGAGAAGACTACTGTCATACCACCCGAAGTTTTGTCTACCAAATCATTTCATGAAGAGGTACAGACTTTAGACATCACTACAAACATATCTGATACGGATGTAAATGTCATCATGGGTGAAGGAGATCTATCGAAGGCAACTACTCAACCTTCACAAAGTACTCCAGTTATTGTTTCTATTGAATCCATTACTAGTAAATTTGTTTCTTTACCTCCATTTATCATCCCTACTACTTCTACCTCTGATTCACCAACCTTTCAAAACATCATCAACCAACCCTTTACATCCATTTTTTCATCTTAATCCACTGATCCACCCAAACCAAATGATGAATCTGAAAATGAAGAAGGTGGATTTGGTGGTACTTGATAAGATATGGTTTTTTATGAAGAAGAGGAAGACTTTCCTGATCATATGCTCATGTCCATGAAACAATTCAAAATACCGAATAAAAAGTTGAATTCAATTATTCAGTCTCAAGCAGTCATGGGGGGAGGAAGTTCAGTGTTCAGTTTCGAAATTGATGGATTGATGAAGGCTTGTGAGGCACGAATGGTGAGCAGGATGTCTGATATGATTAAAGACTTAGAGTCCAGAATCTTAGAGAAGGTTGATCAAAATGATCAAAACACTGAGTTGAGGATAACATCTTTCAATTCCAAATATGTGGGAGTTGTGAAAGAGTTAACGAATGTTCAAATGAAAGGACACACACTATTTGTTATGGATGTGAAGAAAGTGAGTGACGATGTTAATTTGAAGCTTCAAGAGCTTCATGATGACATGGTTCGTGAAGTTGGAGTTGTTCAGAATGATTGTGCTACTCTGCATAAGAATGTTGATATCATTTGTGATGCTGTCACGAAGTATGTTACGTTGTCTGAAAGCTTGAGTCCTCAAATTACTCAACTTTCTACAACTACCAATCAAAAATTTGGGGGGGGGGGGGGTTATCTCGATGCTCAAAGATCTAAAGGAGTCGGTGCTAAATCCTGCTACATCTTCGATAATTACTCCAGAGTTTATCTCACAAAAGTTTACACAGTTTGAAGCCATTGTTCATAAACAACTAGCTCATGTGTCAACTATTTTGAATCTTCTTCCACTAGTGCCCGACATGTTCGAACAGGGGTGAAAGGGGGGAGAAAAGACGGTTACAGAAGGATCTTATGCGAAGGCTGGAGGTGATGCTTCGCATAGAGAAGCTAAAGTTTTGGGTAAACATTATCCTTCGAAAATTCCATCGACTAAGGCTACAATTTCGAGTGTTGGACCAGTTACTTCAACTGTTGTAACATCCATGCTGATCACAAAAGTTGATTACAAAGGGGATTGTTATTGGATCATCTACTGGTCAAGGTGAAGCTTCGAAAACAAAGGATGCTACAGATAAATCAACAAACAAAGGCAAGACAATTGTTGTTGAAAAATCAAAAGAAGAGAAGAAAGCAGAAGTCGAAGCAGAGATGGAAAAGCTAAGGGTAGTTCAGAGCATAATGAGGCAAACAGCGAGTGATCCTACAGGTTTGGACAAAGGAGATCCTTCCAAACTTTATAACTAAGAAATTATAGAAACGAAGGTGGCTTACAAGCACATGCATGCATTTGAAAAGAAACCAAAAGCGAAGATGACTATAACTACATGAGATGATGTTCCTCATGACTCAATTCAAAATCTATGATCAATCCAAAACCAAAGATGCCTATAACTACATGAAGCTTCGTTTTCATGCAGTTCTTATGAAGGCTCCTGAAGAAATTTGGTCACTGATAAAAATCAAGAAGGTTATAAGCATGAAGATGGACATATTATTTGAGGAAATGATGTAGAATGTGAGATACATTGTTGTAAGAGAAAATGGTCAGACTTGTGATTTCACAGTCACAAACTTTCCTCTCATGAATCTGTATGACCTTATACAAATAGCTCTTCTCCTAAAAGATAAAAATTCCTCATATCTTCGAGAACAAAAACCTGATGTTTTCGACTAGGAGTGGCTCACATCAAGATTTTCTTGGAGAATTATTATGAGTGTTTAGCACTTACAGATGTGGAGCTAGAAACAGTGAAAGGACTTGAAGTCAAATTACCCATGGAGCCATCCAAGTCTCAACAAGAATTGAAGAAATATGCTGATGGAGAAATATGTTTAAAGCCTTTCTGTTTGGTATTTGCTGGTAAAGATAATGCCGGAAAATCGAAGAGATTTTTTTTCCAAGTCAATGAAATTGAAAGATATACAACGTCTCAATATACGAACTTCATTGCTCGTATGAATAATTTCAAGAAAAATAATGAAGGAGATAAGAAGGAGCTGAAGAAGATTATATCCTGGTACATGGAAGTTCGAAGGGTGACGATGTATGCCATCCATATTCTTACAACCTGAGAATTCTACTTCATTCCAAAGGGGGAGATTGTTAGGGTTGAAGACATTTTTTAATGAGTCAAAGACCATACCCTTCGTGTACTTCTAATGTATTTACTAAGACATTTGTATGTTCGAAGCTTAAATGTAATGTCTTAGTATTTTTTGTATACTTTCCTGTTTCCTATAAATAGGAACTTTACTTAGAGTTAAGTAAGGGGTCTTTTACATAACTTATCTTTGTACTCTCTTTAAAACTTTGAAAGTATAATAGAGCTAAACAAGATCATATTTACATTTCGTGTTCTTTCATTTCGTTTTCATTCTGATTTGCTTTCCATTACTTGATTAACGATTCATCATCGACTCATGACCCATGTTCCACGGATATATGCATGCATCACACCTCGATCCTTCTGACTCGAAACACCCCCTCTTTAACTCAAAACACCGTAGGTTCCAAACATTGCTGAGACCCCAGTTATGCCCCTAGTTCAGCCACCCGGTTCCCCCAGACCAATTTGGCAAGGCTACCCAGGCCTAAGAGCCCCCGTGCGTCAAACCCTGACTAGTAAGGCTACGGATCCCCGCAGTATCACGATACTCTCTCTCGCCCTTTCTCTGACTCACGAGTGTGATGGCTCCCCTCATTCTTATGATACTCTTTCTCTGTCTCACGTATGCTATGGCTACCTGTAGTCTTATGATACTCTCTCTCCGTCTGACGTATGCTACGGCTCCCCTGTAGTCACACGATACCTCTCTCTAACTCATGCATGTTACTGCTCCCCGTAATCATATGATACTCTCTTTGACTCATGTATATTACGGCTCTCTGTAATCATACAATACTCCCTCTTATTCTCCATGTTCTCTCTCCACGGTCTCCCTTGACAGTCCTAAGTGATTACTCCCACTTGGATCTGTTTATTCTACTATCGCCCTATAATCTCATCCCCAAGTTGTCACCACACTGAGTCTACTACCGAATACTCCACGGTCCAACATACTTAGGTGTCACACCCCGAAAACCGAAGGCGGAAAACATTTCCGGGGTTGACTACCACGTTGAGTATCAAATCCAATGCACATAGTAAGTAAAGTAAAACAACCACTACATTACACAATAAAGTTTTTACAGTTATTTCAAAAGTAAAGTTTGTACAGTTGTGATACATAGTATATATAGACAAAATGAAACGGGTCTTCATGTACTCCGTCTTCTGATCAAAAGAAATCTTCGGGTACCTGTTCTAACGCTGACCTGAGAACACAAGCGATTTGAAAATCAGCATAAAGCTGGTGAGTTCATAAGCGGTTTTTGTTTGTGAAAATGTTGCGAGTTTCCTTTCTGTTTCTGAAATGTTATATGCACCAAGAAAATCCCATATTTTCTTAATAGTTGGTTTTCACAAATGTAAAGTATAGTAAGTTTGTACACTGAAAACATGTCTACTCATGTGAAAATGTATAGTTGGTAATCTGACTGGTTAAACTCTTTTGTTTACTTATCATGTGTTACCAGGAAAGTCCCATACTTTCCTTATTGTATGTTACAAATTGTAAAAGATGTAATGTTATCCAGTTTGTTACTCTTTCTAGTTATGTAAGTGTTACCCAGGAAAGCCCCATGCTTTCCTGCATGTTGGTTTCTAATGTAAACAATGTTAAAGATGTAAAAGATGTAATCATGTTTATGTTCCATGTTTTACCCCAGGAAAGTCCCGTACTCTCCTGATTGATAGTTACTGTAAATGAAAGATGTAAAAGATGTAAAAGATGGTTCATTATTACTATAAGTAAATCTCTGTTATCCTAATTGCGAGTTCCATAACCATACAATAGACTAAAACCTGTGGCAATAAGTAGTCCACATGTGGCAATAAGTCGTCCACATACTTATGACTTTCGTCACCCTTGAACCATTTCGGTTCGGCTGTAGCTAGCAGCCAGGTGTGGGGTAGTCAGCCCCGTATAGATCTATACACTCAAGTTACGCTCTCTAAATACCAGAGATTCTGGTTATGGGTGTAGTCCTCCGCTCGCGTATTTCGGTGGAGTGCTCTCCGAGGACATGTCTCCAATCATACAGGATTAACAAAATTACTAGTAGTAATATGATAGTCCTCCACTCGTGTGTGTGTGGAGTGTTACCGAGGACAAAACAGTGTACAGGTATTATGTTCAAATGTTTTAATGTCATGCTTTTAACTGATAAAATGTGGAAAAACCATTTGTGAAATATATATATAACATAGCAGTTTAAAGGCCTATTTCACAAATATATGTTACGTTTTCTGCATATTCAAATGGTTATCAGTTATGGTAACCCAGTAATAAAAGCATATGAAATATGAAACACACATTTGAAAACAGGTTCTGAGTACAAGTATTCCCTTGTACTTTGCTTGTGTTCCTCCCTGAAAACAGTGAAAACAGTGAAAAAGGGTAGGGGTATGAACTCACCGGACTCGGAAACGTGTCGGTTTTGAATGCTAGACGTTGGCTCGGGGTTTGATTACTCGCGATGTCCCTATGTAAAATGAAATAATGTCCATATATATACAATTAGGGATACATTCACTAATCATATGGAACATTACACTCCAATGAGGTTAAACACCTCAAAACGAGTGTTTGGAGTGACCCGGGTGACATCTTCGGACGTGTAATGGAAACTAGGGACTTGGGACTTGAGTTTACTCCCCAAGAGTAAATATTTTAAGGAGTTTACAACTATTTAACACACACATATATGAGTTTACGGACATAAACTCATGCGGGTCTGGTTTTGATGGTTTAAGGGCTCAAATGGACATGGGGACTGCTAGAATGGATTATCTAAAATGCCTTGGAACACTTGGAATGAATTTACATCATTTAAAACATGAGTTTACAGCCACACTCTTAGAGTTTACGGCCGTAAACTCACCCATGGCTAAGAATGGTTAATTTGAACTATATAGGACAATCACATGTGATTCTAACTAATTTTCTAAGCATTGTTATGAATTTAGGTTACCATTTTACAAACTTTTAGGAGTTTACGGCCTAGAGGCATGTTCTATGGCCGTAAACTCTCCTTATGCTCTTGAAAAATTAGTTTTTGATGTTTAAAACACTCACATGCAATTCTAGAAATCTTTCCAAGCTTTTAGGGTGGTTTAAGACATCATTACCACACTTATAGGAGTTTACGGCCTAGGAGGAGTTCTTTGGCCATAAACTCACTTATGTAGGGTATATGTTGTGTTTAAGGTCTCCAAATCATTTTTAGATGAATCTAGGATTTACCACAAGGCCATTGGTTGAGTTTGAAAGCATTTTGACATGTTTTAAGGCACTAAATCACCATTTAAGAGGAGTTTACGGCCCAAGAGTATGTCTTGGCCATAAACTCACTTTTGTTACCCAAAAATCATGTTTAAAGTGTTTAGATGCTAAAACCAATGCCCCACAAGTCATATCTATGTCCCAACTATGATTTGGAAGGGTTAATTGGCTCAAAAACCCTTTGAATATGAGTTTACGGCCCAAGAATGTGTCTTGGCCGTAAACTCACTTTTGTCCCTCAAAATCTATGTTTTACATGTTATAAGTCCTTTCCATTAAGCCATTAAGTCATATCTAATGTCCAACAATGCTAAGGAGGGGTTTTAGGGCTTAAAAACCCCATTGATA